CTTAGGGCCTGGTCTTCTTCAGATGCGCCTCCAGCCACAATTCTTATGTCTTTATTTTTTCTGCTGACTTCCTTGAGAGCCCAATTGCTCTCTGACTGTGTATTAATTTCTATCTAATTTAATTGTGTATAATAGAGGCACATCTACGAAGATAGGGACTTTATCACTGCTCTCTCCAGATACAACAGGCTCTGACACATACAGGTGCTTCACTGAGGGTTGATAGATGAATGAAGAAATCTTTCCACTAAACTCCCCCTTTTCCTGGGATTGACCCTCTTGGTAAAAAGCATCCCCCTCTTCATTGAAAAGAAAGTTTTCTGCTATTATCTGTTTCTTCTATGAAAGAGAGTATCTTTTGTCTCTTGAGTAACTGTTTTAAAGATGATACACAGTGTATTAGCTATTATTATTCTCTTATTAGTTTGTTATAAAATTTTGTGTTTTTTTTCCCACAAAATAAAAGGCATCTTCCCCCACTCACTTCCCCAGCAACAATCTAATCCAAGATTGTTCCTTTCTTCAAAAATTCAAGCGGGCTGGGAAGATAGCTCAGTGGCACAGTGCCTGCCTGGCAAGCACGTGGCCCTGAGTTCAATTCTCAGTACTAAAACAAAAACAAGAACAAAAATTCAAGCATCTCCCAAACCGTCATGTGGTAGCCCAGTCCTGCAATCCCAGCACTCTGAGAGGCTGAGGCAGGAAGATCGTAAGTTTGAGCCAAACCTGGGCAATTTAGTGACTCTGTGAGACCCTGTTTTAAAATTAAATTTTTAACAAGAAGCTGGGATGTAGCTCAGTGTGAAGGCTGGGTTCATTTCTCAGACACACACACACACACACACACACACACACACACACACGTGTCCAAGCCTCCGCCAGATCACTTGGCTTCATCTCCTGCTGCTCCTGCCCGGGCCCTTCCCTGCACAGCACAGGCCTGGAGCGCACACCCTGAAACCCCACATCTCTTAGACTCAGCTTCCTCTCCTCCCTCTTGGTGTCTTTTTCTCTCTCTGTTCCCCATCACCTCCCAGGACCTGAACTGCTCGCCATCAAATGATCGTCTCTGCATACCTTCGCTGCCCACCTGGCTGCCTGCCCCAACTCCCAATCTGCTCCGCCAGTCTTTCTTTTGGACCGACTGTGACAGTTTTGAAAACATCCTATTTCCTTTCATCTGTGTGGCTGCCACCCCAGTCTGGGCCACCACCCACCCCTCCCCTCTGGGTTGACTCGGCAGCCTCCAGGCGTCCCTGCCTCCCATCTGGCTGGAGCTGCTCTTCTGAAATCACGGATCTGACCATGCAAACCCAGCTTCATGAGCAGCCAAGTTGACCAGCATCCTCCAGGGTCCCCCGAGCTCCCAGCGCACTCGACTTCTGCCACTGCCCACTCCCCATCCCAGCTGTGATCGGCCATCCCTTGGGGCTGTGTTGGCCTTTATTCCTCCCGCACCTGCCCTGCTCCTCTCCTCCCCTAGACCCAGCTCGAAGATCAGCTCCCTCAGTCTCCCTGCCCTGTCTCCCCCAGAGAACTCACTGCTGCTGCCCACCCCACTCCTCTCAGCCCTGATGAACAAGGTCAGCTTGGCCAAAGGGGTCGCAGGCTGGAAAGCAGTTTGGGGCCTGACAGCGAGGCCTTTGAAACACCTTCTGTGTATCCAGAACCGCCGCCAGCATCCCAGGGTGAAGTGGCTGAAGCATATGGCGTTGGGGGTGGGGACGGGAGCCAACACTTTGGAGCAGGTCCCGTGTCCCCATGCTAAGGCTCTGGCCGGGTCACTCCATGTAATCCTCAGAGCAACCCTAGGGGGCAGGGATTTAGAAACAAAGACACCGGTGCCTAAAATTAGCAAAACACATAAAGGTAGTGTTTCCAAGCAGAGGGGGCAGAAAGAAGAGCTTATTCAATAAATGAATTTAATAAGGCCTTGGCTCTGTATTTGGAAATAATCAAGTTGGATCCCTGACAGTACACAAGAATTCCAAATGGAGATTATTACTTAAATGAACATTTATACAAATCTGAGGTAGGAAAAGTTTTTCTCAGCACAGCACAGAAGGCAGGGATCATAAAGGAAAATACTGATTTGGCCATGTAAAAATATAAAGGTTTAGTAGGAGAAAAAATAAAAATAAAATGAAAAACTAGGGGAAATAGTTCTAACATATTATCAGGTAGAAATATAGTTTTAGCACTGAATCAGACAATTTGCATAGGAAGAAGTATAAATGGGCCAATATACGGATCCCTAAAAGTTCAATTATTCAGTAATCAGAGGAATTCAAATTAAGACAAATTTCCAGGCATGGTGGTGCACGCCTATAATCTCAGCACTCGGAGGCTGAGGCAAAAAGATCACTTTGAGTTCAAGGCCAGCCTGGGCTACTTAGTGAGTTCAAGGCCAGCTGGAGCTACACAGCAAGACCCTGTCTCAAATAAATAAATAAATAAAATTTAAAAAAATTTTTTTCTGTCCTGGGGATTGAAACCAGGACCTTGCACATGCTAAGCATGAGCCATAGCCCCCATCCCTTTCTATTTTTTGTTTTGAGACAGAGTCTTGCTAACTTGTCCAGGCTGGCCTCAGACTTGCAATCTTCCTTCTTCAGCCTCCTGAGTAGCTGAGATCACAGGCAAGTACCACCATGTCCAACTGAAATGCCATTTTCAATCTACAAATTATCCACTATTAGTTTAAATAAGATGACCCTGCCCTAGGGGGGCCACAGGTGGTTGCTTCTTAAAATTGCTAAACTGGAAACTACCATTGCAAAGGTGACGGCGGCTTTGACACTGAAGATCAGGAGAGGGAATTTGCCTTCTGTCCCTTTGTTCTCAAAAAACCACCTTGAAAAAAAAAAAAAAAAATAAAAAAAAAAAAAAAAAAAAAAAACCTTGACAGTTCCTCTTGGTGAGGTAGTTGTGAAATAAAAGCCTCCTGGCTCTCAGGGAAGCCCAAAGCCAGCGGTTTGGACTAAGGTGTTACATTTTTAGTTACATAAATTGGACATTTAAAGAATTTAAACATTTTGACAGTATGCAAGAAGAGCGCGTGTGTGCATGTGTGTCCAGCCATCCGCATCCAGGAGGACTGAGCAGTCCAGAACCTCTACAGGGAGCTGATTTCAGCCGGGACCCACTGGGCTGGGCTTTGGAGCTATAGGCGACAGAGGCCGCCTGATCTCGGAAGATGTAGTCATTTGTCCTGATGGCCTGGCCGGGCAGGGGAGCTGAGCACCCCCGTGAGAACATGAGAATGGATGCGCCCACCATGCATCCTTCAGGACTGTGAGCGGGAGCAGGCTTTGGGCCCCAAGGCAGATTTCTCTTCGTAGTGGGATGGGGGCACAGTGTATGTATGCTGGGCAGTGGGGTCAAAGTCAATGTCGCTCATGCTGTGGGAGGTCAGTCAGTCTCACACCAAAACCAGTGGGCTGTACAAAGGGAGGCGTCCACTGCGGTCCCAGTGGAGGAACCCAGACCCCTAGCTTTGAATCGGTCCACCCATTCAGATCTGCCCTGATGGCTCCAAACCTGCAGGAACTACAAACAGACTGCTTGTAGGGGTGCTTTAGCGAACTTGGGGAAGATGGTGAGTTTACAGGTGTCATCCTGGAAGCTGAGGCCTGGAGATATTACCCAATGCCCATCTCGGGGGAGTAGGGCAGTGAGCAAGAGGACAGAGGTAACCCAGGTGACAACCCATGGGCAAGCCAAGGCAGTGAATGGGAAGCACTGCTTTGGGGTCCTGGGACATCACCTGAGATGGCAACCTCGTGACGTCTGTTGTCCTGGTTCTGGCTGTTTCCACTTGATGTTACAAAGCAGGGAGGGAGGATTTGAGGACCTGGTGCAAGGGGGACACAGCAGGGGGACAGGTCCTTTTAGACACTGGTGACTGGAATTGCAGCTGGAAGCAAATTTCCTATTCTCTTTTCACAACTCTTCAGTGTCCTCGGGTCACCCTGCAAGGCAGTATCTGCAAGCCAGGCTCGCTGCCGTGGCTGTTTATCACACCGAAGGACTGAATGGAATCTGGTGCCTCAGAGGAGCTATGGAGGGCAGAGAGCCACAGTACAGACCCTATGGCAAGAGAGGGTGTCCAACACCCCCTCCCCAAGGGCCTTCTCAGTCCCCAGAAGGTGGCCCGAGGACACACTTCATAGCTGCCGTATCTGGGGTTTAGAAAAGCTGCAGTGTGGTTATCTGATGTGTCGGCCATGTGTGGGTTCCACAGTGCATGGGGACCTTTGTCCACACTGGGTGACCATCAGATCTGGGTGCCCATGACAGGGCCCAGAGCTCACACGGCTGTTAAATGGTTACCAAGGCTGGTGATAGTGGTGTCCTTGTTTCTCTGGCAGATGCATGTTTTGAACTGACTGAAGACCCGACAGTGACACATACTGTTGTCCCGGGGAAAACAGGACCCACTTTACAGCTCAGTTTCCGGACACACTGTCCCCAGTGGAAAAGAGGCCTGTCCTTCCAAGACTTCCTTTCTCTGCCTTGCAGCCTGGGAGCTCAGTGCCCTGCAAACAGGAGGTACTGACCTAACGCTTGTTCTTTGCTTGCTATGCTGAGCCCAGGATCTTCTTGATCCCCAGGAAAACCAGTCGCCAGGATATTCAGAGGAAGAGCTTACCTCTGTGAATTGTTTAGGGGTTCAGTGTGGAGAGAGGGGTGAGGGGAGTCTGAAAGCCCAAGCTATAGTTGCAGCTCCCCACTAAATCGCTTGGGGACCTTGACCTGTGTGTCAGTTTCCTCATAAATTGCTTTGTCCATTAGTCTCTGCCTGGCTCTTTAACTAAGTGGATATTGAAAATATTTGTGAGCAGCTTCCTGGAGCCAGTGAGGAAACTCAGGTCACAACCACGGGAGATCGGCTTCTGGTAAGTTCAATGCGAACAATAACTATGGTTTTAAGTGAACAAAAGCAACCAAAGGTGTCATTCTCGGGATATGAATCAAGAAATATTTCTGAGAAGGGATTTTATTAGATAACAGACTGGAACAGTGAGTCTGAAGTTCACTGGGGAGTTACTAGGAATACCGGAAAAGTTTTCCAGGCCGACGGAACAATGTGTCTGAAGGCAGATGCAGGAAAGGAAAAGGCTGTTTGGGAAACTGCAAGTAATCACCAGAGCCTCTGCTGGGAAGAGCCTCGGAGGGTCTGCTCACTCCTAAGTTTGCTGGGAAAGGCTGCAATTAGACCTGGGTTCACATCCTGACCTCTGTTTTCAGGGTGACTTGCTAAGTTGGGGTCTCTACTTTATAAAAGGATAATAAATATCTCACAAGGTTGGAGAGCTAAATAAATAAGTCCATGGATGAAAATGCACCCACAGTGTCCCATATACAGTAGGTGTTCCATGTATATTTATAATTTTTCTAAAAAACTAAATTGTTGATCCAGAGGTGTGGCTCAGCAAGAGTCCTTGCCTGGCATGCACAAGGCCCTGGGTTCAATCTTCAGCACTGGATAAAAAAAAAAAAAAAAAAAATCAAGTTGTGATCTGAATGTAACAAACATCAGCTCCCACCCCAAGTCAGGATTTCCACACCATCTCATTTAATCCTAGCAGGTGGGGTGGGCTCCCAGTCCTGATTCCAGACTCTCAAAACAAATTACCTAGCCCTTTCTGCCCTCTTCAGGGCAGAGATTGCTCACAGCTTCCTGATTCACTTCATTAGTAGCAAAGCCTGCATATAGTTGGGCACTCTGAAGCTCAGTGTAAAGCCTGCATTTCCAGCCTCCCTTGCAGCTAGACATGGTTATGGGGCTCAGCATGTCAGCAGAAGCATCATGTGGAACCTGTGGAGGTCTCCTAGAAAGAGAGAGTGCTTGCAAATAAATGTTTTTTTAATTCAAAAGGGAAGAAGAAAGGTGCCATCTTCCTACCTTCCTCTTCCCTGCTGACTGAACTTGGACAAAATAGTGGGAATCCAAGCAATCATCTTGGACCATGTGGAGCTATGTTGGTAAGACAGCAAGATGGTGAGCTCTAGACTGCCCTCCCATCCCACTTCTGAATCACTAGCTCTTCTCTATTAGCCTACCTGTCAGTATTTGCTCAGGTTCAAGTTCCCCCCAACCTAAAAGGAAAAATCCTCCCTCTATCTCAAGTTCTTGTCTTTGTCCATCCTCTTCAAAGAACACCATCTGTGAAGGGCTGTCTTTTCTCAAGGTCTCCATGTCTCCACCTGCAGCCATTCCTCAGCTCCCTGCATGAGGGCTCTATCCTCCTATTCTACTGACTGGCGTGGGCCAAGGTCCCTCTAAACATCTAAATCTAGTGGGATTCCCTCTGCTATCTGCCAAGTAGATCTTTCCAAAGCATCTCACCACTCTTCACCTTGGGCTCTGTGGGCCTCATGTCCACCCCCTGCCCCTCAGCTGCACATTTTCTGCTGTCTTGCACATTTAGTTTCTGTTTTGTTTTTTTTTTCCTAGATAAGATCTTGTCGTTCAGGCTGATCTTGCACTCACTATGTAGCTCAGGCTGTCTCGAACTTGCAGTGATTCTCCTGCCTCAGCCTCCCAAGTGCTGGGATTACAGGTGTGCCCTACCATGCCTGGCTCAGCTTCTGTTCTAAGTCCTGGTTCCCTGTAACTAGTCACTTGACTTCTTGTCTCAAAACACTTCAAACTCAAAGAGTTTAAACTGAACTCATGGTCATACCTTTTTCCTTTCCCCCAAACTTACCTGTCCTTGCCAGAAATCTGGGAGAATCTTTGATACATCTCTTTCTTCCCATCACCACTACCTTAGTCCATTTTCTGTTGTAGTAACGATGGAGACTGGAACGTCACAAGGAATAGAAATCTATTTTGCTCAGGTACTTGGAGGCTGGGAAGAGCCTGGCATTAGTGTCTGATGAGGACCTTCCTGCTCTATCGTGACAGGGCAGAGAATACCACATGACAAGACAAAGCAAATGCACAACTTCAGGGCTCTCCCTCTTCTCAGAAAGTCACTAATGCCAGCATGGGGGGCCCTGCCTCATGACCTCATCTACCCGAATGCCTCCCAGAGACCTCTGCCTCCAATCAGCATCAGCATATGAATATGGGGGGTCTAAGTTCTCAACAACAACCTTTTGGGGACAAACTTCCCAACAAACCTTAGCAAACATCCACACCACAACCAGTGCGTGGTTAAACCTGACAATTTCATTTCCTAAATACAATCCAGCCACTACTACTAGCCAACTCAGCTACTGCCATTTAGAACAGTCATTTAATTGATCTTCCTGCTCCTAGTCCAATCACCCTAAAAACCTCTTTTGTCACACCAGTAGTCAAAGGCAGCTACCAAGAGGGCTGTGTCCAAGGCTTGTTTAGAGGCCATCAACTTCCCTTTGCCCTCCAGATGGACAGCGAGACTCCTGCCTGGGGCCCACACCCTTCACTCTTGCCTCCTCCTTCTCCACCCCAGCCATGTGCTTTTTGAACCCACCGCTCTTTCCTTGGCTCCTCTGCACCACTCTAACCTGGCCTCATCTTCGTGTTGCTAGCCAGAATTCTCCCCATCACCATCCATAAACTTCTCCTCCTAGCATTTAGAAAAACTTGAAACGTCTGTCTTGTGTACATAAACGCCTGTCCTCCGCAGTTCCAACATTAGCTTTTGTGGGCCTCTTTTGCCGGTGGTCCCATCACTCCAGGGTCAAGTGCAGACATCCAATGAACATCTGTTGAGTGACTGAATAATTTGTGCTCCCCTGCTCCCACTGTGTTCATAACACAAATCTAGGGCCTTAGGAACCCCATCTAAAAGACATCCCAGAGAAAGTGCACACCTACAGACAGGCCAGGAGGCCAGGTGTGGGGGCACACCCTTGTAACCACAGCATTGAGAGGCTGAGGCAGGAGGATCCTAAGTTCAGGCATAACCTGGGCAACTTAAGAGATTTAGCAAAACACTCTCAAAAATTAAAAAAAATTTAAAAGGCTGGGGATGTAGCTCGGTGGAAAGGCCCTAGGTTCAATCTTCAGTACCAACAGGGAGTGGGGGTAGGCCACAGGGCGAGGAGAAGTTGGGTGAGGATTGTAAAGAAGCACAACACTGTGCCGGTCCTCCCTGACGCTGGAGAGAGAAGACTGAAGACCGCGCCTGCGCACACCTTGCAGGAGGCCCGACGCCTCCTCGGCCCCAGGGTGGCGCTGTGCGCATGCTCCCCACAGCGCAGGCAACTCAGCGCTTTCGGCCGCTCTAGCCGCTCTTCTCGCTGCCCCGCTGGGACGCGGGCGCGCCGCGGGGGTCTCTCCAAGATGGCGGCGCAGAGGAGGAACCTGCTGCAGAGTGTGAGGAACCGACCCGCTCTCCGGGTTGGGGGCTGGGAGCCCGGTGGGATTGTCGGGTGCTGGAGCGCCTCCCTCTCCAGGCAGAGTGTGACCGCCGCCCTCCCCTCATTCCCAAGGCTGGAGGGCGCGGGCAGTGCGCCTGGGACCCAGGGCTGGCTCGGCCCCTCGAGGCCCGCGCGTGCGCGCTGCGGGCGGGAGGGCTGGGGCTCAGGGACGCCGGGGTCCTGCGCGGTGGGGGCGTCCTCGAGCCGGAAGGGAACGTGGCGCCAGCGAGTGTTGTAACATAACAGCATCACCGTGTGTAAGGCATGCTGTGACCCAGGCATTGTACTCCTTTACATTCGTGTATTTAATTTTCGTAGCAGGCCCGGGAAATAGATACTGTAGTTATACCTATTTTACAGATGAGGAAACTGAGGCACAGAGAGGCGGTCATTTGCCCCAGGCCACACACTGGTAAGTGGCAGAGGCAGGATTAAAACCACGTAGTCTCATTCCGGAAACCCCTTTAACCTCTGGGCTTTGCTGAAGGAATGACAAGTGGTGATGACCTGGGTTTTGGTCCTGGCTCTAACTCACTGTGTCTCCTTTGGCCTCAGTTTCCTTTCCCTGAAGTGGGAGTGGGGACCTCTGGACCTCCATAGCTCTGCCCCGGTCTTGCACCGCCTGCATCCTCACAAGGTGCATCTGTACAGAGACACACACCCATGCTGACGCCTTGGCTTCTTTTGCTCTGCTAGGGTTGGGGTGTCCTCCTCTGGCTCCTTCCCTGTCATAGTGATACAGGGGAAATAAGTGTAACTCAGCCTGCTAGATGTCAGATATGCCAAGATTGTGTTCCCCAAAACCGAAGAATGAGTTCGAAGGAACAGTGGAGGTTGAGAATAGGAAGTATTTATTGAGAGAGCTCTTGAGAGACTGGAGGGGACCTGAAAAATAGGTTGCCACGGACCCCACTTTACAGAGGAAGTTTTACAGACCAGAATCACGAGATGGGTACAAAACCCTGAGGTGGGGATAATGTGGAACAAAACTGTGATCACCCAGTAAGATTACAAGTTCGGCTGCTTCAGTAATACTGACTTAGTGGGAAGCAGGTCACACAGCAAGTGTACATGGAAAGAACAAGGACCTTTTTGGGAAGACAATTAAGGGGTCTTGGTCAACCACCGGGGTGACGGATGCTGATTTATTGTTTGTCTCTCGGAGAGGCATGTAGGCCTGGTCATTTTGTGTTTATCTTGAGGCCTTGCCTCCAACAGATGTACGCCCGGCCCCATTTGTAATATATTTTCCTCCTCTGTATTGACTCCGCCAAGAGCCTGGCCCTGTCTGACTGCCTGTGATATTTTTATGTAGCTTAGCTGTTTATAATAATAGCGCTTGGAATTGCTTATGGAGGTCTGAGCCTCCTAAACGAGAAAGTGGGCTCCTCCAGGACAGGGGCTTGTGATACCCTGCTTACAGCTGTGTCCCCAGCACCCACCACTACTGTGCTGGGCACTCAGGAAGTATTTGTAAGATAAGGAGTAAGGTATTGGTAGCCGGGTCCAGCGCAGGCCTTGCCTTACAGTCATGGGCCTTCGAGGGTCTTGAAGCATTGGAACTGGAGGGGGAGGGATGCCCTTTACTGCTGCATGCTAGTGCAGGCTTTGTGTGGACTGGGAGAGAGAGGTCTGCCCCTCTGCTTTGTAAGCCCCGGGAGGACAAGGCCCTTTTATCAATGTCTCCTTGTAGGAGGTACCCAAGAAACACAAGCTGGACTGTGGCATTGAGAGAAAGAGGGGCTGGGAAGAAATGGTAGATGGTACAGGCTGAGTTGGCCAACTGAGGAGACAGTGACCACAAGGGTCCTGCAGAGCAAGGTGGTTGTTATCTTCGCTGCTCTTGGGTGTGACAGAGCCTGAGGGATTTGAATTAGGTGAGCTTTACTAGCTTTCGAATGTGCTCTCTGGGTGATAGTGGACTTGTTGGTTTGGTTTGGTTTTGGAAATTGAACACAGGGCCTTTGCACTGAGTTACACCCCTTCTCTTTTTCAAATTTTGAGCCAAGGTCTAAGTTGCCCAGGCTGGCCTTGAATTTGCTATCCTGCTGCCTCTGCCTCCCAAATGGCTGGGATTACAAGTGTGTGCCACCTGCCTGGTGGTGGTACACTCTATTAAAGAAAACATTTTAAACACAGCTTTTTTGGTTTTTGGTTGTTTTTTGTCTTTTTTGAGACAGGGTCTTGCTCTGCAGTTTAGGCTGGCCTTGAGCTCACTTTGTAGCCCAGGCTGGTCTCAAACTCACAATGATCCTCCTGCCTCAGCCTCCCGAGTGCTAGGATTGTAGGCATGCGCCACCATGCCCGGCTGTTTTTTGTCTTTAAGACAGGGTCTCACTGTGTAGTTCAGGGTGGCCTTGAGTTCACTGTGTGGCCCATAGTGATGCGAAGGCGAATGAAGCATGGTGCCCACCCTCACTGCTTTTGCAGTCAGTGTGAGAGGAGCACAGCACTCGTACAATGTGTAAGGCACTCACAGGCCAGTGTGGCCCCGCACTGGGCACCCAGGGCACACGGTAGAGAACTGCAGAAGGTTTTATTGTTCTTTTTTTCTTTTTTTTTTTTTTCCTGGTATGGGGGATTGAATCAGGGCCTTCAGACTGAGCTACATTCCCTGCCCTTTTTTATTTTTTATTTTGAGACAGTGTCATGCTAAATCACTAAGTTGTCCTGGCCAGGCTCTAATTTGCAATCCTGTCTCGGCCTCCCCCCATGCTCGGATTATAGGCATGTGCCATCACGCCCAGCTTGCAAAGACTTTAAAGGACAAGTTGGAATTTGCCACTCAGAGGCAGGCAGGGACATTCACTAAGTTACCCAGGCCGGCCTTGCTGGTGTGGCCTTTGGATTCTATCCCAAATGTGATTTGAAGCTTCTGAGTGGCTTGGAGTGGGGCCCTGATGTTAACTGACTTATAATTGGAGAAAGATCCCTGGGTTTTTGTTGGTTTGTTTGGGAATGGTGGGGATTGAACGCCGTGTGTTGTCCTCACACACGCTAGGCAGCCCTTGTGCTTTTGAGTAGCAAGAATGGAAGAGCCTGGGATCTGCTGAGGGGCTGCTATAATTGTCAAGGTGCGAGAGGACAGGGGCTTGGCCGGGAGCTGGCAGAGAGTGATGGGAGTGTTAGGGTCAGGCTGTGTTTTGAAAGAGGAACTGGTATGATGTGCCCATGGGTTGAGTGTGCAGTGTATGGCAAACAAAGCCAAAACAGGCCAAGGCTGCATATGAACTTTGGTGGTGCTGTTTATGGGTTGCAGAGCCCTGGAAGAGGAGCACTTGTGGGCAGTGAGAATGAAGAGATTGATTTTTCCTGGGCTGTTGCTTAAGTATGAAAAGAAAATCGGCTGCACACAATGGTGCACATCTGTAATCCCTGCTACTTGGGAGACTGAGGCCAGGGAATGTAAAGTTTGAGACCAGCTTGGGAAATTTAGGAAGTTTATTCTCTGCCTCAATAAATAAGGGCTGGCAATATAGCTCAGTGATAGAGCACTCCTGGATTCGATACCCAGTATCCCAGAAAAAAGAAAGCAGCCAGGCCCAGTGGTGCATGCCTGTAGTCCATACCATTCCAGAGGCTGAGGCAGGAGAATCACTTAAGCATGGGAGTTTGAGGCCATCCTGGGCAACATAGCAAGACTCTCAAAAAAATAAAAAGAGAATCAACATGAAACCAGTTTTTTAAAAAAACTTAAGCATTTCCTTAGGCTTCCTGTGAAGTGACAGGTGCTAGGTATGTAATTTTTTTTTTTTAGCATACATTAAATATGTACCCACTAAAATGAAAACATCCATTTTAAAAATCCATTAGGCCATCACCGTAGGCCTTTTTTCCTTAGCGCTGCTGCTGGAGCTGCCCCAGTGTTTAGTGGCCCTTTGAGCAAGTGTTAGGGTCTCTGGTGATGGCGTAGACTCTGGTGATGGCGTAGAGCCTTCGGTGGAAACCCTATCAGGGCTCGAGGGCAGAAGCAAGTTGGCTGCAGAGAAGTTGGCAAGAGGTTTTTTAGAGAGGAGAAACTGCTGTCCCCGCCCCAGCCATCTTCCTGGGGGCATTATCCTCATTTTCTGAGCTTCCTTTTGGCCTCGAGGGCATTTGGTTGCTTTCACCACACAAACACTTGGCCTTTTCATACCATAATTTGATATTCAAGCTGTGGCCTGAACTGGGAACTCGCTTTGTCCACTTGAGCTGCCCAGGCCTCTGAGTCTGTGTGTGGACATTTGTGAACTCTGTTGGTGTGACCCAGGCACAAAGGTGCAGAGGAGCTCGTGCTGGAATAAATGTGCACGGTCAGTGGGCCCCTCCGGGCTTACACACGGTTGGGTCACCAGCGAAGCCTTCCTCACAAAGGACTGTTGGAAACTGCTTCACGAGAGCAAGTGGAGAGGAGGCCCTGTCTTCCAAAGCAGCCTTCCTCCTCACCGTATTTTCTGACGCTTTTCATGAGCAGTCCCTTGGCACTGCAGAGGAATTCCAGTCCCTGTGCTTGCTGTCGTGTGTGAGCGGCCCTGGCTGAGGGAGCTGAGTGTGAATCGCCCCCTTCTCAGCTGCCCAAAGACTCATGCCCCCTGCACTCGCCGGGGGCTGGCATTTGGGGATGTGGGAGGAAGTGTGCGTCAGCACCGGCGCGGGCGGTTTGTGTGACTCGCGCATACACGACCTTTCCGAAAATTGTTCACAGTGTGGGGGAAGGATGAGAGTCAGCAGGCTTGTTTGTAGAACTCAGCCTGGGTGCTTGGTGTGAGCATTCCCCAATGATGAGGGAGAGAGGTGGTGAATACACACCAGATAGCAGCTCACCCAGTGTTACTGGTTTGTATCTAGATGTCCCTACAAAGCCTCATGCAGTCATGGCACGGGCTTCTAGAGTTTGTGATTGGCTCATGGTCCAGTGGGATTATGGGTGTGAGTGCTACACTCATGGGCCATTGGGGTTATGGGTGTGAGTGCTAC